TGGCTCAATGTTTAGAGAGTTGTTTAAGTTCGCTGATATATGAAATAATTTTGTTGTCTCGTTTCTCATCCATTCTGACACAAAGCAGCACTCCAGCATGACTCATAGCCGCCTTCATGTGTCACAGTAGGGTGGCCTTCTGGTCTTGTGACAAACTGCAAATGAGACCTCTTATGGCTTTCTTTTAACATGACACTTCTTTTTGTTCTTCTATTCCTTTACCTGAACAACTCAGAGCCTGGTTGAACTGAATTTTATTTGAGGGTATCATATTAAGGGGGTGGAATACAGATGATTGTGAGATTTTTAGTTACATTTCTTTTTGTGATAACTTGATAACCTGGAATCATTTCAGTGCCACTTTAAAAATATCTGTCACATATAATCCCAGTAAAACACATTTGAGATTATATTTTGACAAAATATTACAGTATATCAGCTTGGGTTTTCTTTTTTGCAACATTAATTGCGTATTTTCTTCATCAGACAACTCTCTGAAGAGAATGCCAACCTGCAGGTGCATGTGGAGATGGAAAGCAAAGAGAAGAAGCGTTTGAGTCGCACCAACGAGGAACTGCTGTGGCGTCTGCAGACAGGCGAGCTGAGTCCACACATGACCCCCAGCTCCTCCCCCATCCACCGGCCAGCCTCTGGACCAGGCTCACCGGCCCGTCCACACTCCTACCATCAGTGACTGTTTGTACCAAACACATTATTTTATTTAACTCTGAAAAAAGTTCCTCTGTTTTAAAGGAATGCTATACAATTGGTTATATGTTGTTTGTTGGGAAAATGTCATTCTTCCCCATGAATTATTAACAGTCCACTGAATGTTTTTTTTTCATTGACCTCATGAATTGTACTGATGAGCAAATCCTTATCATCTTTTTTTTCCAGCTGATGAAAGTTCAGAGCAGTGCCTCATTAACATAGTTATACCTTCATCTACATTTTTACCTTTCCTTTCCAGCTCTCAGGTTGATGGATAAACAAGACAGTGTAAGCCCTCGAAGCTCAATGACAAAATCAAAAAGCGCCTTTTGTCATCCATTTCCTCCCACCAGCAAGCTCCACCTGGGGCTCAGCAGTATTATGAGAAAAATCTACCTACACCTCTCATACTACAGATCAACATTTGTACGTTGAAGCATCTCATGCCCCATGCGTATGGATCATAACAAGCCATCTAACCTTTAAACAAATGAAACCACTTAACTGCCAACGCCATGTAAGTATATTATCAGTTATTACACGTGTAGACTGTAGATGTATGACTAGCTTTACAGCATGAGTTATCTTCCAGTTAGAGATGATTTAATGTGTGAAAATTGATGAGTCGAAAAGAAAAGCAGCACATGATATAGCTGGGAAACACAAACCATCACCTTCAGCTGAATGGAAGAAAAAATGGTTCAAAACCACCAAAGATGAAATCATTAAACTGTTACACACTTCATCGGATAAAGGTTTGGAGTTTAATGCAGCCCACTCAGGCTTTAGACAGAACTAAATACGCATTTCTTTCAAAGTTCGAAGAAATGGTTATATAAATGTTTATTAATGTTTTAAACTTTTTTTACATGTGGATTTTATTTATATAGAAACTGCTGAAAAATGAAACCGGCAGGTGTTCAGCTTTTTTGAGAAGAAAACAAATTTGGCTGCAGTTCTTTTAAAGTTTTTCTCTGCCTTTTTGCACATTTAGAGGGAAACTTTTTTAGTTTAGAAATGTATTTATTTATTTTAATTTTCTTTTTTTTTTTTCTTTTTTTTTTGCAAAACAGTTCTGGCTCAACCAGAGTGGGTGAAGAAAGTTCTGTAAGCATACATTTTCAACTCTTGCTCCAGTTTCTCAATTTGTAGTTTTATTAGGAAATTCAAACAATAGAATATGAATTGATCTAAAAGTAGAGTTGTGTGGCGATATTTACAGTAACAGTTTTTTTTTCTGGGCTCTTTACATTGTTCTGATTTTTTTTGGTTACACTTGACCAAACCATCATCACAATCATTAATAAATGGTAAAGAGACCATTAATGGTTAACGGGTAGTTTATCAATGTTAGCATCGAAACCATTTATGAATGGTAAAGAGATCATATTGTTCTTCCATCTTCGTTTAGCCCCAAATCTAGCATTAGTTGACTTTAGGCCTGAAATTAGCCTTTATTTTTAATTGAACTTGCCCTGTCATGTTGGACTTACCCTAACATTAGCGGGCATAATGCCTTAATAAATGATCTATTTACTTTTTAAAATGATTTAGATGCAGTTTATAAATGAATAAAACATTAATAAACTGTTAATCATTAATAAATGGTATATTTACCATCTACAAACGATGGTTATTATAAAGTGTAAACTTTTTTTTTTTTTTTACATACATCACAAACAAAAGTACAAATGAATGAAATATCCACCACATCTCCAGCTTGTGCTCATGTTTTGCAACGTTTTACGTGACCCTTAAGAAAACAGAAAGGAAAATCTGTCGCCAAGTTACTTCATTTTTTTATGGTTTGACTTAAGCTCAGGATTTATGAAGAATTGTGAGTCCTGAAAGGGAAAAAAACTGCCATAGTTTTGATTGTATTTGTATTTAATTTATTAGTGTTTACATACAGCAACCAGCCATCAGAGGGCCATCTTGCTTAACATTTTTCTTAGATGTGCATAGAAATATTCCAAAAGGTGTAGAGTATTATTTAATTCACAATATTTATGTATACATTTCATAGAGCATATTATGTTTAAAACCTGTTCAAACAATTATTTGGCTGATGTGTCTAATGTTAGATAATTATGTTCAGCGGGAAGAGAATCAGCTCTACACCGAGCGTGGAAGCTGCCTTTCTCTACATCAGGTTCTCCGATTGCACTGATTGCCTCTGTGTCCTGTGGACACTACCTTGTACTCATATACTGAACAAACATAAAAGACAAAAGCTTTTGTTTACAGTTTACATGCAATATCAGAGAGAGGCTGTTTCATCATGTGGATGTCTTTCCTTCTGTGGGTTTTTTTGTTAAAAAATATTGTATTAAGTATTTTCCAGATAAGCCTACATAAAAGCATGTCTTTATATGTTTTCTGTAAATGTATTTATTTTTTTCAGTTATACTTCATTCACCCTCCTTTAAATCAAAACAGTAACTTAGCTATGGTTAATAATAAGAGGTTATGGCTATGTATGTTGCACTTTGTATTTAATGATTAAATCACAATAAGCAGAGTAAGTAAAATGCTGTCTGTTTTGTATTTGTCTTATGCATATATGTAGATCATTTTTATTTGATACAGGTTAACTTTAGAAAGTTAATAATTGTACTGAGGATAGCTAGAGAAATTATGACTTTCGCTGCATGAAACCTTGCATCATGTCTATGGGCAGGGGGAAGATGATGGTGGAGTTCTTCTCTGAAGCAATGCTACTGAGTGTCTGCAGGTATCGTAGCTGGAGAGCAGACGGGGCTTCAGCTATAACCAGAGAAGCTTCTTTCAGAGCCCTGGAAGCATTCATTTCACCCTCTGCAGCAATGATCTGAAACAAAGACAATAGCACCCATTACAATCTGCTTCTCCATATGTTTACTTCGTGTTTTTTTTAGCTTGTAAAATTGCAAAGTAAGCCTTTGACTGCTGCCCTCACCTTAGCCCTGGCCTCCCGACTGGCCTCAGCCTCTGCAGCCATGGCTCTCTGCAGCTGTTGAGGCAGCTTCACATCCTTGATCTCCACACGCTCCACCTTGATACCCCACTGATCAGTGGCATCAGCCAGGGCTTCCTAAATTTTCCAACAAACGTTATTCTAGACTGTTTGCAGAAGCACTATAGCAAACTGGGAAAAAAAAGTGAAATATACAGTATATTTCCATTTATGGCCTTTCCTGCCTAACTACATCGCCTTATACATGTACTGTGTTACCTCTTCTCTTCATTTTATACAACAAATTTTACTCTGAAGTGAGAGGACAATACTGCAAAAAAGTGCCCATTTATGGAGCTCCTTTTACCCCTAACTTTTGATTTACCTACAAGTCACCATTAAAAATGTCCAGTCCAAATTGCATATTGCTGTGATGCATATTGGGATGTTTATCTTCCAATAAAATAGATATTGCACCTTTGAGACCTGACTGATACCGATATTGAACCGATACGATATTGGCATGGATCCTATATACCATTAATACTTATTTTTTTAAGTGTGGGATGTAAACAGGTTTGATCAAATAATATTATCAAACAGATAATGATAGTCAACAAAAAATCCTCCTTCTCACATATAAAGCCTTAATTGGCCAAGCTCCATCTTATATCAAAGATCTGGTTGTTCCTTATGTTCCTAACAGAGCACTTCGCTCTCAAACTGCAGGTTTACTAGTGGTTCCTAGAATTTCTAATGGGAGGCAGATCTTTTAGTTATCAGGCTCCACTCTTGTGGAACCAACTACCAGTTTTAGTCCGTGAGGCAGACACCCTGTCTGCTTTTAAGGCTAAGCTCAAAACTTTCCTTTTTGATAAAGCTTATAGTTAGGGTGGCTCAGGTGATCCTAAGCTATCTCTACAGTTATGCTGTTATAGGTTTAGACTTTTGGGGGACATGGACCCCCATTTCATCATTCTGCTTCATTCTCTCTCTATTCTCCAATTCTGCAGAATCTGTTAGTTCAATCTTTAACGTTATGCTCTCTCTGCTTTTCCTCAGAGTAGCTTTGCCTCCTCTGTTCCTGTTTGGCTGTGACGCCATCCTGGAGAGAAACATCAGCTGTGCTGCTTCCATCAACACCCTTGTTTATAGATGCTGGAGATAGGCTTGTTTTCCAGTGTGGTCCTGTTTCTCTCATCGTGACTGGGTGGATGTGCTCTCTTCGTCCTCTGGCATGGGAGCTCGTCTGCCTGGCTGTGTGTTTCCTGGAACGAGGCTGCCTTTTACAGCTGCTTTTTGTGTCTCTGCTTCTGTCTCCTTGAACCCCAATCGGCCTCGGCAGATGGCCGTTCACACTGAGCCTGGTTCTGCTGGAGGTTTCTTCCTGTTAAAAGGGAGTTTTTCCTCTCCACTGTCGCTACAAGCATGCTTAGTGTGAGTGATTGTATTTGAGTCAATGAGTCAATGCAATCAACTGGTTTTCCTTAGATAGAAAACTTTGTATCAATTTGACTGTATGATCTGGTGAACTGTAAAGTGCCTTGAGATGACATGTGTTGTGAATTTGGCGCTATATAAATAAACTGAATTGAATTGAATTGAACAGCAATAGGTACGAGAACAACTGACCCATTTCTCATAAACCAACCGAAGGTATTGTATTTTCACGGCTTACTAATATTCGGCATACTAATCTGATAGTTTATTGCCTAATTTCAGACCGATATCAGATTGAGACATTCCTAGTTGCATATGCATAAAATATTCTCCTCTACAGCTTGCCAAAAGCAACAAAAACAGAAGAAGGAACTCCATATATTTTTCCCTTCTTCTCATATTTCTTTATTGCTTTGTGTTATTTTGTCAAAACAAGTTTAGATATATCAAAGTGTGGTTCTGAAAAATGTGAAAAAGGTTAATCAGTTATTACTTATACTGTAAGCATTGTGTTTCTATAAAGACATACAGCTCCTGTAGTGCCTTTTATTAGAGTTTTTATCTAACCTGCATGCTCATTGAAATTCCTTCTCTGTCAGACAGAAGTTCTGCAAGGTTTTTGGTGCCAAGGACATTCCTCAGAGTGGTTTGTGCAAGCAGACGTGTGGATGAGTGTGCGTTGGACACATTTGCCACAGCTGAGATGGGACAGTGAATGCGAAAGTACACAACTCCATCCACTGACACAGTGACAGAGTCTTTGGTTAGGATCTATGAAAGGATATATAGATAGAATATTGTTCAGTAATAAAGACTCTTTTTTTAAGTGCCCGAAAAGAAAAAAAAAAATCTTAGAAACACATCCTTTATGTACAAAAAGAAGACTTACCTCTTGCGGAGGGATATCAAAAGATACTGTCCTTAGATCAACTTTCACAAAATTATCAGTGCAAGGCAAAACAAAGAAGAGGCCTAGAAAGAGAAAAATTACATACATTTCAAGCTTAACTTTAATGGGGAAATCTATTCCCAGGAGGATCCAGTGTTTCTGTAAAAAATGTAAAATGACAAACCAGGTCCTTTAGGCTTCCGATCCGAGATCCGTCCCAGTCTAAAGATGACTGCTCGTTCATACTCCTTCACTATCTGGACAGCAAACCAATACAGAGAGCAAAATGAAAACAATTTCTAAATATTGTGTCCTCCAAAAACCATTCATACCACTCATACATTGTATATTTCATTTGGCTTTATTGTGATACAGTACTGCAGCATTGTATATATATATTTTTTTTCTTCCTCTTTGAAGCTGCAACTCTTAAAAAAGAATGTTTCTCACAGCTTCCCACTTCTAAAAACTGATCATTTAGAATTTTTTTAAATAGCTCAATCCCTGTCAGATTGGATAGAGAGCATCTATGAAGTTTTGAAGTGTTACCGGAGTCTTACATGGATTTAGGTTTCTACTTTCCCTGTGCAATACACATGAATATGAAACCTCCTCCTGTCATCATTCTTACAAAGCAACTAGTTTGTTTGCATTCAGTTCTACTCCAATCATCATTTCACTCATTCTTTACACCTGTTCAGCTCCACTCTTTCTCATCAGAGCTCATGCTTACCACCTGTTCTTCTGCCTATTTAACCAGCTATAAAACCACTTACTGTTGCCAGATTACCGAAAGCCTTACTTATAGAAGTCCAGCGTTCCTTCCCTGCCTGATAACATCCGCTCCTCTGTCCTATGGCTTCCTAATTCCTTCCCATGCCCAACATCTCCTGCTTTCCAGTCTTAGGGCTAACCCTATCCAACCAGTAGTTTGGTGGTTATGTACCTGTGGTTTCCTGATATATATATAACCACATAGAAGGGGGTACTGATATCAGTGCATTGGACCTGTTCTGATGTCACCTCCACCCTGTTAAGAAGGAACCTAAGCTCAGCTCCTAGTTCCTCAGAGTTGGCAAGGGGTTCCTGAACTTGTTGCTGGAGGTTGCTTACCACCTCCCTTTTGGATTATAGGAAACTTTAAAACCTTTTCTGTTGTTTCTGGCGGAAATCTTGGGTCCTACATTTGAGTGGGTTTACACCTCCCTAGTTTCTGGTGTTTTGCAGCTTCCAGCAGGTGTTCCTCTTGGATTAAATTCAGTTAAATCCATCAACCACTGATGCGTGTTCCTGCCATCCCATTTTTTCAAGATGTGTTCAGGATGATATGTTTGACCAAATCTAGTGTAAAAGTATTTCAAAAATATTTTAACTTACAATTCCAGATGTATTTACAAATCAAGATAGAATTAGGATATGATTATCTGAAGGAAAATGACTTCACTACTTTTATCATAGTTAATGGGCCTAAATACAAATGCATGCTAAAATTTAAGCTCTCCACTGTGAGATCAATAAAATCTATCTTGTCTTATCTCACCTTATCTTAAAAGCTGAAGGAAATATGACACTATCTTCCTTTTACTTCATAATTATGCACTACGTTGTGTTTGCCATTCACATAAATCCTGATCAATGAATAGGACGAAAATGTTCTTACCTTGACACACATAAACAATGTGACTGGAAAGGTTAGCGCTATAAACAGTAGCGATATGATGACTAGCAATGAACCAAAGCATCCCAACCTTCCTGCATTTTTATCTGTGGGGAGATAGAAGTTAAAATCAAAGCTTGGCTTTGAATTTGCTTAAGATCTGTTCTATTAATATGAGCCCTAAATATCTATTTTGCAAGCTAGTGCACTAAGTTTGACGATAGTTAATTAAAGAGTGTTAGATCTATTTAAACAACAAAAACATCCATGCTGAGGGCTGCGCCAAAGTCAAAAATATCATTTGTAAACAGTAGTATCATTATTCCAAGAGAGATATCATTGGACCTTTGCCTGAGCTAGGAGTTGCTTTGCAAACTCTCTTATATATTATAAATTGATTTCATGCCTTTCAATAAAATTGTCAAAGCGGGATTGGAATGATTCAATAATTTTCCTCCTTGATGGTGTCGACAAGTAAAGTCCTCAACGTTTGACAGTAACCAATCATTTATTACACAAAAGTGCCAATAAAATCTATAATGTCTTTCTTGGTATTTGACTTAAATACACAATGATCCATTAAAAACTCGACTGGAAATCTGAATTTCATGTACATTTCATGTAAATGGATATATATATATATACATATATATATATATATATATATATATATATATATATATATATATATATATATATATATATATAGAGTGCTTTTATCAAGCCAGATCTTGGATAGTAGNAGAGTGCTTTTATCAAGCCAGATCTTGGATAGTAGCTCTTCAAAACACAAAAATGAATTAAAATTTGATGAGTAAAGGTCACCAATCCTTTTTAATCTTATCAATACCATAGTTTGAAAGTTACATCTGCTGATTTCCACACATTGGACTAAATTGTGACAAAATGTTCAGAAAATGATTTTCATTTTTTCTAAATTGTGTAACATCGCTGATTGGTTTAGTCTTTTTATTTATAATTAATAACAAAAAAGAAGATTTTGTATTGTTTTTTAGAAACTGAATTGGCCGGAATCGACTTCTTTATATCAGTCAGAAAAATAATTTTACATCATCTGTCATCAAACGGACATTGTGTGCTTGGTGGGGCCCATTGTGATCCCAGGGATGGGTGGATGCAGATGAATGGCTGCTGTCTATGGCCTGAGAGCTAGTGGCAAGGGAATGAGTGGACATCCTTGGTGAAAATCCTTTATTCTAAATGGCTTTAATAATATCTTATATTTTTTTTATTCTCTTGGGTTATCATACATTTACAAGTTTTTTCCACAACACAACATTTCCAATATGTTAAAAATATTCATTTTACCCTATTGGAAGCTTTTTCCTGCATCAGATGAGAGAAGTGCACTCTATTTAGACCAAATTCTGATATTGTGGTATCTTTACCACCCAAAAGACAATAAACCCATTCACGTGGACCGATGATCCTTATGTTTGGCAGTATTCTTTGCAGCTGATTTTGAGATTTGAGTTTAGAAAACTAGTACTGTAGGCCTCAGGGTTTTACATTTACAGTATTAGGGGATTTACCCGGCTTTGGCAGGGGAATAATTAAAGCCTGATTCATGGAGGGAGGCAGGAAGCCTTTTATAGAGAATGATAAAGATGTCTAAAAATATGCTTTTTAAAACAAATTAACTGTGTAATGTAGCACTTAGTATAATCCTGACTCTTTTTTCAATAAATCTGTAATAAATGATTAAACTTTACATTTCTCCTTTCAAAATTATAGTAATATTTGGGGATCCCTGCTTATTCTAAGTAAATCTTCAATACCGAATCTAAATTTGAGTTCTTGATTTAGATGTTTTCTCTTCAACGGCTCGATAGAAGGATACAGCAAATGGGAAATATGGCATCCAATTTGAATAAATGGTGAAACACATCATTTAGGGAGGGATTGCATTCAAGTCGATGCAATCAACTGGTTTTCCTTAGATAAAAAACTTTGAATCAATTTGACTGTATGACCTCGTGAACTGTAAAGTGCCTTGAGATTACATGTGTTGTGAATTGGCGCTATATGAATAAACTGAATTGAATTGAATTTACAGGCTACCAAGACCTACATTTATAATAAAATGTATTACTGCAAATAAACTATTTTAAAAAAGCCAAAAACCCAATGTAACAAACAACATCATTTGAAATACAATCATGACAACAAATAAAGTAGCAGTAAGTTAAGAAATGTCATAATTCTGACTGAGAATATGGTGGTTTACACCTTAAAACATTAATTCCTTGTCCTCCTTGTTCGTGCCTCTATAACAATAATGAGAACATAATTACCTTCAATATTTTCTTCACTTATCTGAAGTTTGCCTTGAGTAACCATTTCCACTGTGCTGGATGTTGTCGAGATCATTGGTGAAGCATCCGGATAATGGAGAAGCAGCAGCACACTTGTTTACTTCCCTCCCTTCTCTCAGTAGGGTGTGGTCTATCCACTTCGCTCTTACTGCTTCCTGTAAATCTATTGGTGTGGTAACCTGAACCACAGAGCATCCAGCTTTTGCATACTACTGTAGTTGAAATCTCCAGTTTCTAAAACCAATAGTCCTACTAGTATCTTAGGGGGAGTCTTATCACTTGTTGACTCCAGGTGATGAATAATTAACAAGTCCAGAAACATGAGACTTGGTGTGAAGAGGCGGCGGGACCGTCAGCTCATCTCATTTTGAAAGAAAGCACTTATAGCAGTTCATTACTTTGCAGTAATGGGTTTTTCATCGACTACGATAAAGAAATGCTTCCTTTTTACAGCATAAGTTGCATAACAAACCACATTTACATCATTTATAGAAAAAGTAAGAGGCCTGAAATGGGAAATTCAATAAAACCTGTTCATTATTTTGCTAATGATTAGTTTGAGGTACCTCAGTCTGAACAGAGAAATGTTTTAGAAAAGCTAGACCAAATAATCTATATCTATTTGAGTAGCAGGACCAGGTTGCTCTTACTAAAAAAAAAAAAAAAATGGGCAGAAAGGTGGTACATAAGTTTTCCCACATACACAATGACAAGGTTGCACAAAGATATATCTTTAAAAATGTCTTCAACAAAACACTATGCAAAGTACATCATTTTCTGTGACTGTGCACCATGTCTCCTGATTTTCTTTTAGTCTGCAAGGGAATGAATCTATTTCAGGGTATCGAGATAAGCTTTTGCATTCCAAGTTATGCAAATTAACCTTTAGACTAAATAATTTTTTTAAAAAACACTAAAAAAACTGTTGACTGCTTATTGACTTTAAAACCTCAGTTTAGCAACATTCTAAATGTTAATGCACTGGTTATAACTATCCACCTCATAAAACAACACATGGTAGCAAAAACATCAAGCAGATACTTGAATGTTAAGATTAAAACTTTATTTCATATGACGAAGACATTTTGTCTGAAATTTGTTATAACAAAATTCTTATTTTAATATTGTTTTAGAAGTATCAACCACTTTATTTATCATTTAAACAAAACATTGTAGGCAGAGTTACATCAGGTCAGACATGTTAATTAGGGGGATTAATCAGCACCCACCCTATCCATCATATACTTGCGGCTCAACTCGTAAGCTAGGAAGAGGGCTCCGTTGGCAGGGAAGGTGCGTATCATGGTGGGAGTCAAACCAGAGTACAGAGCGGTGAACCCTGGGGGGAAGACACAGTCAACAGCTACACAGGTTGTTCCCTAAAGACGATGAAGCCTCCATCTTGGGCAATTTGCAAATTAATGCATTCATGATGTGTCCCACAACCTTAAAGAATGGGTTTATGCAAACAATCCCCCATTGACAGAGAACAGGACACATTTTTTAATCTTTCAAATAAGCCTGGCTAATTCAGAGAAAGTATTAATACTGTTTATATCTTTTTTATTAAAAATACACATTTCAAGACAATAGCTGGATCATCTAGATTTTATTTCCTGACCAGAGATGGAAATCCTTTGAAAGGAGTAATTTTGTATGTGCAGCTTTACCTTTAGCATTGTTAATAAAATGGCAGTTTGTCCTACATTAGGTCTAATAAGCATATGAAAATAGAAAACATTATGCAAGACATGTTCATAGTTAACATCTTGGAAATCCGGTTTATCTTATCATCAAAGGAGTTACAGCCTACTTAACAGTTCAGGAAACTAACCCTTGAGCTAATTCCCACAAAGTGCTAATAAACACACAAGACTTTTCCTGTTGTCATGGAGATAGGAGATTACTGCTAAAGGATTAAAAAGATTAAATGTGGGTAAAAAGCTAAGTATAACTTGGACGTTAAAAAAAAGTGAGGGAAAAAGTATTTAGTCAGTCACTGATTGTGCAAATTCTTAGGAAAGAGGAGAGCACTCTAATTGTCATATAAGGTACACTTCAGCTTAGATAGAATGAGAAAAATCCAGGAAATCACATTTGAGCATTTTCAAAGGATTTAATCTATAAATTAACAAGGAGAGTGATTCAACAATAAGCAAGCAGGCTGGTATGAATAAACCAACTGGGGGAGCAATTATAAGACAATGAAAGACATAGAGGACCACCGAATATCTTCATGCAAGATCTCATCTGATGGGGTCAAATAATAATAAGAATGGTAGGCAAAAATCCTAGAACTACACAGAGAGAGCTGATGAATGACCTACAGAGGGCTCTGACCAAAGCAAAAAAGGCTACCATCATTACACACTATGCTGAGAGAGACTTAAATCCTGCAGTCACAGGAGTGTCCAGACCATCTGAAGTTTTCCAGAGAGCATATGGATGATAAAGAAAATTGGGAGAATATCATATGGTCAGATGAAACCAAAATATAACTTCTTTTTTTGCACAAACTCAACTCGTCATGTCTGGAGGAAGAAAAAGCATGAGGGTTGAAACATAAAACTTTGGCACTATTTTTCTGCAAAGGAGACAGGAGGACTTATTTGTCTTCAGGGAAGAATGAACGGGACAATCTAATGGGCTTTTAGCCAAAACCTGCTTTCATCAGGGAGAACATTGGAGAAGGAATTTGGCTAGGTTCTGCATGGAGGAATGGGCCAAAATACCAGCTACAGTGAGAGTAAATCTGGTAACGTTTGACCTCTGTCATTGCCAACAAACGTTATGTACAAACTTTAAGTATTGAGCTGAACTTTTTCATTGACCAAATATGTATTTTTCCACCATAATTTTTAAATAAATTATTTGGAAAAATCATACAATAGGATTACCTGGATTTGTTTCTCCCATTTGTTTCTCATAGTTCAAGTTTACCCATTATTGTTGGTTATGTTCCTAACAGAGCCCTTTACTCTCAATCTGCAGCTTTACTAGTGGTTTCAAGGATTTTTAAAAGTAGAATAGGAGGCAGATCCAGCTTTAGTCCGTGAGGCAGAAACCCTGTGTACAATTAAGGATAGGCTTAAAATAATTCTTTTTGATGAAGCTTCTACAGTAGTAAGAGTGGCTTAATTTATCATGAGCTATAGTTACATATGCTACTATAGACTTAGACTGCTGGAGGACATAGGGACCACTTTTCATCAATTTGCTTCTCCCATTCTGCAGTATTTTGTAGTTCAATCTCTGAATTTATGCTTTCTTTGCTTTTTGTCATTGTATTAGCTTCATCTGATCTGTTCTTGTTAGGTTTTGAAATCACCCTGGAGAAATATCAGCTGGGCTGCTCTCATCAACCCCTTTGTATATAGATGTTCAAGTGTAGTCCCGTTTCTCTTACAGTGAATTGTCTCTGTAAAGGGCCTTCATATGACTTGTGTTCTGAATAGGCACTATAAAAATAAAATGTATGAAATTGATGTAAATTACATACCTCTCTCATCTTTCTAAGTAGAAGTTGCACAATAAGTAGTTGACCTTTTTTTTTTGCCCCACTATAAATGGCAATACAGATACAGCTTGCAGGCTTTTAATGAACAACACATGTTCAACACTTACCCTCAGTACGTATAATACCCAAGAAGGTCTTCATGAACCCCTCTTGCCTTCCAGCTAATGAGTAAACCTGGATCCTAGACTTCACACAATCTATTGGATAGACCACCAGCCAAAGACAAGCTCCTCCAAATCCACCACTAAACATGAGTGGAAGAATGCCTGCATACAAAGATATACGTTTTTAACATATCTTTTAAAACACACATGAAAATGAAAATTAGAATAACATACCTATACTGTCTTTGTCTGTGCCCTTATGTTGTGCAAAAGTTGTCCGACACAACTCATAGGCCCCAAAGAAGCAGAAGTAACCTGGTATCTCCCTAACAATGGTTGAGGTCAGTCCCTGGTAGAAACCCAAAGGACCGTCAGTTCTCAGTACAGTCCTAACCACAGACCAGACAGTGCTGATGTCCCACCACAAACACAAAAACAAAGGTGAAGTCAGATGAAACTCAAAATGCTTGGTTAATTGCAATATTTCTGGTGAAGCTGACCTCCGGTGTCCTTTCGCTACCTTGCCAGTCGCTTCCATTTCGTGCATGGCCTGCAGGCGACATTTCACCAACTCTGTTGGGCACAAGGCCATGGAGGAGAAGATGGAGGCTAAGGACCCAGCAGATGCTTTCTGGATGTCACTGAACACATTAAATTAAGTTAAATGACACATTAGAAAACTAAATTTTGTGACAATCTTTAGACATCACCACCCAAATGAAACCATCTGAAAGCTCAAAAGGATAAAACAGTAACTTTTCACCACTCCACCTAGACCTATTCTGATTCGCTTTCAAGCCTTGCTCTCTCTTGTATTATTGCCGCCTGAATGATCTATAAATCACGTGTCAGCCTTTTGTAAAATATAGTTCTTTTAAATAGCTCCCTCATAAGAAAAGTCTAATAACTGTACTTACAAAAGAAGGTTTCTGTAAAAAAAATAAAGTTTGTTTGTTTTTGCTAATGTATTTAATTTCATGTAATAAAATGCAAAGTAAATACTTAAAATAAGACTATGTGATTTTTATGGATCTTTGCTGTAGATTCCATGACTCACAGTTTCAGAGTACCTATGATCAAAAACATTTTAGACTTCTACATGCTTAGCAAGTAGGAAAAAACTGGGTATTGTTACAGAGGTAATTATCCAGTGCGAAATTTGCATAACAAAATATTAAAAAATCTTATGCAAATTTCTGTTAAACCCTTTTGACTGAAGTTGCTGAAAAAACGTTGAGAAAAACGAGTCTAACTTTGAAGATATCACAGTCAGCCCTATTTCTTATGCATCTACTCCAGAAAAGCTATACCATTTTACTGCAACTGCTTGCTCTCCCTCATTTCTCTCTACAAATAGAACATTTTAACCTACCAGTAAGAACCTCTAACCAAGACTTTATCAAAGCCATCCACTAACTACAAACAACTATAATTGATATAGCCTGTCAGATGGCCAAAGGTTTTTGATCCAGAGTGAAAATTATAATGGCAATAAGAAATCCACATCAGAATCAAACCTTAGTTCGGTTCCTTTATCCATCCTTAACAAAAGGCGGACAGCGTCCTGGCACAGGCCGTAACTTAAGAAGAGCACCGCATTTTCACTGATGTTGGCAAGGAGGGCCGGTGTGGTGCCTTTGTAGAGACCACGGAGTCCCACCTGTTTGAAAGTTGAAATGAAGCAGTGGATGAAGCCACGGTACATGCTGGGAAACGTCTGCATCTTCACCTTGGCTGTGTCAAATGGCTGACCACTTAGCACGCAGGCTGTACCACCTAAAGTAGGACAGCATAATAATTGATCAAAGTTTTAAGCTTCACCAAAGCAGAAGACACACCTTCTAATTCATCATTAGGGTACACATTCATTCAGTGCATAGGAAATGTTTAAATTCCCCATTCAATGTATTTTATTTGATAGGTCACCACACCAGTTGTTCCAGCAAATGAAACGCTGAATTGTGTGGCATGCATTTTTATTCACTTCCCTTAGTTTCCTGGTACCGCCTCAAGTGCCAAGTAGCATGTTTTAGACTTCTTCTCACTGCTGCACACCTGACTTATATTAATAAATGATTAATTGGCCTTTGCATCACTTAAAGGCTGCTAAGCAGGACATGCAATTATTTGAATCATTTTTGCTGCAACAGATAGACATCTAAAACATGCAGGGTAGTGGTACTTGTTGAACAGGAGAACTACTTTTTGGTCTAATTAGTGATAACAGTATTCCTTTCTCTAGAAGGTTATCTCGAGTGCAGAGCACATTTGAGAGCATAGCCTTGCCCCAGTTTATAAATAGGATCTAGGTCTCCAATTTAACTTAAGACTGTCACATAAATGTGGTCTGATTAAAAAACGTTCACATGTAGCTCTGACTTAGATTAGGCTCCTGAAGTTTTGAGCCTTGAACAGGTATTCTGTCAATATTGCTCTCCATTTTGTTTCTTCTTTCTATCTTCTTTCTATCCTCCCATCAAGCTCAAACGGCTTTTTGAATAGCAGATTACTAAAAGGATCCCAAAATTTGACGCTGAGTAAAAGTTCAGTCCCTGTAAGGATGGGGTCTGAGGGTAGATTAGGCAAAGAAATAAAAGGGAGCTTGCAACAATTTCTTGTTGTAGGAATTCTTTATGAGGTTGTTTTAAAAAAAAGTGCTTGAATGCCATATGCAGCCCTCAACCATATTTCTATAATCTGGTCTGTTAGCACAGATAAAGATGGTGATTTATTAATATTTTACATTTACATTTTAATAGACAAATGATCAGAATCTTAAAACATAGAAATGTCAGGTACAACTGGAAATATTTCTTAATTATGAATCAGATTTCTGCATACAGTAAAAGAGAACCATGAATGTTTATGAGCTTTTAATCTAAGTCCATCTTGAATTTATTTCAAAAGATGAGATTAGGTTCAAAAAATTATTGCAAGACAAAAAGGATATCAATTCACCAAACAATTTAGGAAACCGTAATCCTGTCATGTGTTTTGGATCTATAATGCAATGCAGATCTCCTTTCTGCTCAAAACCCTGACCATTTTGCTGGTGAAGATTCTCAGTCATCCAGGTCATAGTCAGTTTCCCTGACCGTTTTGTGTATTTCAAAACAACTGACCTTCTTTAGATTATCGTTAAACAAGCAAAAATTTAAAATAGGCAAAATCATTTATTTTGTGAACTAAGGTGAATGAAGCCTCTGTCCTTCCTTCTGATATAGAAACTGGCTCAGAGCACTTCTGCTTAACTTTTTTTCCCAAGGCAGAGACTCCTGTGCTGCTAATTTACCTTCTCTAACATAAATGGTTAATTTAAATTCCTTTTGTATGTCTGCTTTTATCTCCTTGAACATGCAGTCTGCCCAGGCAGAAGGACTCTCCAACCGAGAGAGTTCTGTTAGAGATACCGAATGTAGATTCTAGCATCATCAAATCAGTCAACAACATTAGAGAATAGGGAGCTTCTCCAAACATTAGGGCAAAGCAAAACAAGGACTACTAGCCATACTAATATTATAACATAAATGAAGTGTAAATTCTCTCATTAAAAGATAACAACAAACAGATGAGTAAAATCAAGAAAATATCATAAAAAGAATTACAGAGAAGTGATAGATATGTGCATACAGATGATAATATTGGAGACTATGATCATTTATATGAGAGTTCATGAACTGTGATGGATCTTGGGGAAGTCCTTAGAAGTCGGATTGTCTTAGCTTTAAGACATCTTTAATTCCTATCAGACAACAGCAGCTCAGACATCAGATAATATCCATGATGATCAGGGAGCCCATTATATTTTATTTTTCATGTTTGAAAGGGCATGCTAAGTTTAGCACATGGTGAACTGGCTTTATATGTTTAATTCTAGTACAGTATATCTGGTAAATAAAGTGAATGTGTGACAGAAAACATTCTAAGGCAAACTATTTGCTAACTAATTGTTGACAGATCTCCATTCCCCTATTGAGCTATGACAACTAGAACCACAATGTTTCACCACATAAGCTGTGATGATCAGTGTGATTTACGAAGTATTCATTGCTCCAAAGGTATTTTTTGAAGTATTGCAAAAGTAGTAACAAGAAATATTCTATTTTTAGATTAAATATTGCACAGTGATTCTATTAATTATTTTATATATATTTATTTTGAATAATCTAACCATGCTTTCAAGTTGATTAGGTAAAGGATTTGTGAAATCATATGCATCTTTTTCCCTTCAACTCACAATTTGGCACCACTTTTTCCTGGCTTGTGAACATTTCAATAAAATACATTGAATGAGGTGACATGAACCTATTGTGAACATATTCATAAAATGTTTTATGAATATGAGTCTTCATGCAATGCAATCCTCAGCTTATTTAAAAGAATGACTGTTTAAAAAAACTATTGAACTTGCCTGCTGCTCCCGCTGAGAAGTCAATGACAGCTTGTATTACAGGATGTGGGGCCATGATGGTGTCTGTGTAAAAACACAACACTTCAAAAAAGACTGCAAATCCTAAAAGCCCCTGAAACTGGAAAGCGAAAAAAAGTTGACAATGACAAATGAAGTTTATATCAAACTCACCCGTAGTCCACTAAATATGGATTTAGGCTACAGTATCTGGTGTCTTTCTTTTGGCTCACCTTCGATACGATGTGTCCAGTAGCTATGGCAAACAAAAAAACAGCGATTTAAAGCAAAACTCCAGAGCAAACTCACACTAACCGTCTGTCCTAAACTTCCGTCATCTCAAGACTTGGAGCGCACCTTACGTAAGCGCGTAAAGACGGATTTCAATACATTAGACGCTCTCTGTTGGCAACATGGCAAAAAAAAGTTTAAAATAAAGATGTAGTCTGTGTATCAGTCAATTAATGGTGATCAATTAAAGTCACATTTAAAGTCAGTCAATTAAATTAAAGTCACTATCTGTCACTATGGTGCGCTGTGTGCCATAGCTGTGATACTTTGTGCTGTGAATGTCCACTAGATGTCAGCAGACTCCACGCCAAGGATACTATCTATCTATCTATCTATCTATCTATCTATCTATCTATCTATCTATCTATCTATCTATCTATCTATCTATCTATCTATCTATTTGATCCCATCCCAAAGTATTTGAAACTAACACACCAGTGTGTCAATCTCAAGGAAGATTAATGCAAAATAAGGATTTATTATCACTGTTATAATCTAAACTGTGCATGTAGTATATTTTGCTACAGTTCTTACACTGAAAAAAACAATGCAGCAGTTTTCAGCATTAAATGCAATTCAATTCAGTTTATTTATATAGCGCCAATTCACTACACAAGTCATCTCAACGGACTTTACAGTTCAACCAGATCATACAGTCTTAATTACTTAATCATATTTAGTTACTTTAACACAATTGTTTCATGTTAGCAGGGTAGGACATAAAACAATTGTGTTACAGTAACTTAATATGATTAAATAAATGCCAAAAGCTGTTGCATAATTTTTTTCAGTATATATAAGTCATGCAGAGTTGGTGCAGTGTTAGTATCTTCATCATATTTATCTGCTCCAAAGTATTGTTATATTTACCAATGTCAACCCTTTAATATGATATGAGTATGTAAAATTGTCATTCTAGGGGAGTGACTGTATCTGTTATGTGATGTTCCCACTTTGAAGTGGACATGATCAATGTGGTCCAAGAACAGAACATCTCTGAACATGCAAGAGTTATGAGGGGATCCAGGCTAATTGATACAGGTGGGGGCAAGACTGGTCACTGTTGTCCAGTTAATAGGCCATGTACTGTAACCCACATTGGACTGAATTCTGGTTCAAAGAGAGAGGGAGAGAGAGATTTATGTTTATTTATGTTTTTAACTATGCAGAGAACTGTGCATTTCGAACGTATTCAGTGTGTTGCAATTTTATGTTACAGCCTTATTCCAAATATAAAATAAATAGACTGTAAGTAGTTCCTGGATCCACTGTAACTGACAACCTTTATGAGTCTTTATGATTTTTTTTTTTAATATTGGTTCAGAATCAGAGTGGAAAACTGTTTAAGAATGATTCATAAGGAAATGCATAAAAAGCAAACACTGCAAAAGCAAAGTTGCGTAATACAGTCAGATTTTTTATATGGCTTCTTTTTCATCATTTTAATCTAAAAGATTCTTTTAATTGTTTTTTTCCTAAGCAAAAAAAACAATTAAAAGCGTAACTTGACAGTTATAATTAAAATATAATTTTGGTTTTATTCTATCCGGAATAAATAAAAAACAAAGACAAATGAGAGAAAGAAAGTAGGAAAAAGAAAACATTTAATTAATTTTATGTTGTCCATGTGTTACAAAAGGGGCCTTTTCAATGACTAATTGTGTGTATCATCGCTTCGCTTCAATTATTATCCATTTAAAACATGTGTTCATAACATTTTCTTTGTCATGACCATTTAAATATTCCCCAGAACATTTGGTTGATTTGACCATTTTTAAAATTAGGCGTGTCCCAATAAAATCTTCTCATGTGTGATACAATACCCATATTGCAGCTTTTAGTGTTAACTAATACCAACATTGACCTGATATAACATCCTGTGTCATACATCATTTATTGCCTATTTTATAGCGTGAAATGATAGAAAAGGCTTGATCATATGATATTTCTCAAACAGAGAACAAAGGTTACCATATAACATATGACAACTGACCCATTTCTTATTCAACTTAGTTACATAAACTTCAATCAATAGCAAATCTAAGCATAATGTTTCTATGAGCTTATCAGATATTTTAGAGGCACAATCTGATATTCATTTTTTGGCTAATATTGGATCAATTTCAGATATGAACATCGATTCAGGACAGCCCTATTTAAAATCCAAGAACAGTTGTATTGTTTTACCAGTTTCCATTGTTTTTATAATTAGTCTAAATTTACAAGACTGGATAAAATAATTTTTAAATAGTATCTATTAAGTCTATCAACAGTTCTAATTTAGGTCTGCACTTTGACTTAAGAATTCAGACACATTATCATGCTTTGTTTTACAGTTATGTTCTCAATGACAAGCTTTCTTCCCTACTTGATGGTATTAGCACATGCATATGCTTTTATTTAAACTACTCTATTCCATTGATCATTGTAATACGTATGCATGTTAAGCTGGAAGGTAACCTTTGCCCTTACTTTAAATCTATGTTTAGCTTCTGCATTCATTTGTATAGTGATTAAACAGAATAAGAGTTTTAACCCCTTATCTATCTCTATGGATAGATCAAACAATATCAACGATTAGAGTCAATTTGCACGTGTAATGTATTTAAAAAGCTGACAAAAAACAAGAGGATTAGGTTGACTAGATAAAAAAAAAATACATTTTAAAGACTTATCGAGCATTTACAGAAGAGGATTAGGGCCACTGAAAAAAGAAAAAAAGTTACCTGATTTTTAAACGTCATTTCAGTTTAGTATGGGATAAGTCAGAATTCTGACTTTTTTCTAAGATTTCTGACTTTAATCTCAGAATTCTGAGATTTTTATTTATCAGGATGCCAAAAAGGAATTCTCATTTGTTTTTTTCCCCAAAATTTCTGAACCTCTGTTTTGTGCAAAAGTTATATATTGGTCCTTATTATGCTTGTTTCTATTGATTAATGTGAATCTGATTTTGTTCTGCATAACTTTTTTTTTCTTTTTGCTCTGCATAAGTTGTTCTTTTTTTGCCCACCACCCTAAAAATAAAAAACTAAATTTGTGACAAAACATGTCTTTTAATCTCAGAATTCTAACATTAAAGTCAGAATTCTGAGGTTAAAGTCCGAATTTTGAGATTAAAGTCCGAATTCTGAGATTAAAGTCTGAATTTTGAGATTAAAGTCTGAATTTTGAGATTAAAGTCAGAATTCTGAGAAAAAAGTCAGAATTCTGAGATTAAAGTCAGAATTTTGAGATTAAATTCCGAATTTTGAGATTAAAGTCAGAATTCTGAGATTAAAGTCAGAATTTTGAGATTAAATTCCGAATTTTGAGATTAAAGTCAGAATTCTGAGATTAAA